GGTGCCTGCAAACACAAGAGCATTCGCTGATGACAAGAGAGCATTCACTGATAACAAGAGAGCATTCACTGATAACAAGAGAGCATTCGACGACGTCCTGACGACACTGCCGGTAGAAGAGATGCTTCGTCGGTGGTGCCTGCAAACACAAGAGCATTCGCTGATGACAAGAGAGCATTCGGCGACGTCCTGACGACAATGCAGGTAGAAGAGATCCTTCTATATATGCTCTATCGCTCTCTCTATTTATCTTAGTTACTATTATATTATATATATATATATATATATTATATATATATTATATTATATTATATTATATTATATACCTTATCACTGAGAAGTCGTCGATGAAGAACTTGACCCGGAAGTACATCGTGAAGGTCGGGGTCACAGTCTGACCTTTGCTCGGCGTCTTCCAGTCAGGTGGCGCCACCTTCGATAGCTTCACGTTCTGCTCGACGAAGATGTGTTCGCCGTCTGCGAGTCAAAATTAGGTCGTCATCGTTAGCAATGCCCGCACTAATTAAGTTGCTTAGTTCACGTTAATTAGGTCATTGTCTGCTACCGGCCGACCGACCGATCGCTCGGCTACCGGGGGCCGAAAAAATTACCTGCGCGTGAAAAAAGTCGTGAGAAAATCAGAAAAGTAGTCCCCCCGCGACCGCACCCCACGCACCTTTCAGGTACGATACGCCGAAAAAGTAGTTCTCGGCGAGCGACTCGTGGCGTGATACGGCGTCGAAGATCTGCTTTCCCGTTGCGTCGACGTCGCAGCAGATGCCGATCCGTCGTCCCGTCAGCATCACCACGACGACGCTGCGCTGCCTCTCCTGCCGCTGCTTCTCGTTCTGTAACGAGCGTAACGAGCGAGCGCCTAATTAATGTATCAGCGCACGCGCAGTACGTTCTCCTAGATAAACTAGTGTGTCCTATATAAACTACATAGATATGCTTATACCTTATATCTGTGACTTAAGTGAAATGGCAAATGCACTCTTTATAAATCATCTACGATCATCAATAATCAATAATCTATGATCACTAATAATCAATCATCTACAATCACTAATAATCAATCATCTATGATCATCAATAACCAATCATCTATGATCATCAATAATCAATCATCTATGATCATCAATAATCAATCATCTGGAAGATGAAGCCAGTAGCGGACTTCTCTATGGTAACGTCGAATGTGTTGTCTGCAATGATGCATCATCCCGAATGAGCTCCTCAGTCTCCACAATGATGACAGGTGGTGGGATAGAGATGGAGGATGGAGGGAGATGAAAGATGAAGCCAGTAGCGGACTTCTCTATGGTAACGTCGAACGTGTTGTCTGCAATGATGCATAATCTCTAATGAGCTCCTCAGCAGCAGCAACAAAAGACTAGAAGATGGGAGGATGGAGAAGGAAGACAGAGGAGGAAGACCGAAGAGGAAGCCAGTAGCGGACTTCTCTATGGTAACGTCGAATGTGTTGTCTGCAATGATGCATCATCCCTAATGAGCTCCTCAGTATCAGCAACAAAAGGCTGGAAGAAGGGGGAAGATGCGGATGGAGATGGGAGATGGAGGAGAGAAACGAGGGATATAGAAGATGGGTGAACCACAACTTCTAAACTTTCTTCTCGTGATTTCACAACCTTTAACCGCGGTCCTAACCCGACGTTAATACGCGCACGATGTAAATCTCATCCCGTCGCCGGCGGCAACGACCACGCGCGCGTGCGGGGGGGGGACCTGCTTACCGTCGTTGATGAATGAGTAATGTTCGTTCTCGTTGCGTTCTCCCATCGCGCCTCGCCGCTCATCCCCCGTCGTCCGCGTCGTCGTCGTCGCCACGGGGGATGAGTCACGATCTACACAGGAAGCAGACGAAGAGGAGAGGTTAGCGACTGGGCGCGAGCAGCGCCACCTATATGTTAGCTACCAGGCGCTAGTGGTGCCACCTATATGTTAGCTACCAGGCGATAGTGGTGCCACCTATATGTTAGCTACCAGGAGTGGTATAACTTAAATAAATAAATGAATCGTACAATCAATCAAACTGATCAATCAACCCAAATCAATCAAGAAATCAACCAATCAATCAAACTAATCTAGCAACCCAAATCAATAAAGAAATCAACCAATCAATCAACCCAAATCAATCAAGAAATTAACCAATCAATCAAACTAATCTAGCAACCCAAATCAATCAAGAAATCAACCAATCAATCAAACTAATCTAGCAACCCAAATCAATCAAGAAATCAACCAATCAATCAAACTAATCAATCAACCCAAATCAATCAAGAAATCAACCAATCAATCAAACTGATCAATCCACCCAAATCAATCAAGAAATCAACCAATCAATCAAACTAATCGTCGCTGCGGGGAGGGGTCCCGATCTACACAGGAAGCAGATGAAGAGGAGATGTTAGCTCACCATCACTAGTCATCTCAAATAAATCAAATAAAGACTGGCCTGCAGCATTGTTTAATGTTTAATTAGTTTAATTAGTAACTAAATAATGCTGAGGAAGAAGGACTACAGAAAGTAGAACTACAGCAGGGGTACAGGGAGATTTAATGTTTAATTAGTTTAATTAGTAATTAAAAAATGCTGAGGAAGAAGGACTACAGAAAGTAGAACTACAGCAGGGGAACAGGGAGATTTAATGTTTAATTAGATTAATTAGTAATTAAAAAAATGCTGAGGTAGAAAGACTACAACAGGTGTACTACGGCAGTCACGAATTTTCTATGGTGCATGTTTGTAAAAATTTTGTTCCATTTTTTTTCATGAATAGTAAGTTCTAACGATAGTAAGTTCTATAGTTCTATAGTTCTATAAGTTCTATAGTTCTAATGAATAGTAAGTTCTAACTGTAACCTCAAATTCGTACCTGATGAGATTGTTTCTCAACTAGTTAAAAATCGAAAAAACCTCGGCGATTTGATATATTGATCACGACATAAAATGCTTGCTAAGGGCTATGTATGAGTCACGAGTGTTTGTTCACATCAAACGGAATAGCAAAATAGGAAGTATAATGCAGCAATTTAACCATAAACAGTGAACAGAATCACTTATTTTGTGAATAAGTGGACATTTTATTATTTACGGTGACGTAATCACTTTAATAACGCAGGCTAGCGGGAGTGTACGCAGAACACGCTCGTAAACACAGCAGCAGTAGCAGCAGCAGCAGCAGTAGCAGCAGCAGCAGCAGTAGCAGCAGCAGCAGCAGTAGCAGCAGCAGCAGCAGCAGCAGCAGTAGCATCAGTAGCAGTAGCATCAGCAGCAGTAGCAGCAGTAGCAGCAGTAGCAGCAGCAGCAGCAGTAGTAGTAGCAGTAGCAGCAGCAGCAGCAGTAGTAGCAGCAGCAGCAGCAGCAGCAGTAGCAGCAGCAGTAGTAGCAGCAGCAGAAGCAGCAGCAGCAGTAGCAGCAGCAGTAGCAGCAGCAGTACTATCTGCAGCAGCAGCAGCAGCAGCAGCAGCAGCAGCAGCAGCAGTAGCAGCAGCAGCAGCCGCTCGTAATGAGATGCGGGGTGGTTAATGAGATGCATGCGACGACCCCCCATCGGCATGCAGAGGTGGGGGTGGGGTGAAGTGTGTGTGTGTGTGTGTGTGTGTGTGCGTGCGTGTGTGTGTGCGCGTGCGTGTGTGCACGTGCATGCATGCGTGCGTGTGTCTGTGTGCTGATAATAGAAAATGAATGCATTATTTAATGACCTATGAATGCAGAATTTATGATCTATAACTAACATTATTAGCTATATAAACGAACAAACATTATAGCACCAAGCAAGAGAAATATTTTATGATGATTACTACCCGAGAAAAGATTTTCAATAAAAGGAATTTTTCAAAGTTATAATAATGTTTGTAACATAACAGCGTATTCAGTTTGCTGGCAACATAATGGAAAATCGTGTCGTACGTTTTAGTCTGTATCTCCGGATTGCGGGTGTATACGAGGAAACGATTTCGCACGATGCTAGGCGAATGTACCGTGTACGATTTGAGCTCAAGTTGGTTGAGTTACTAACCGTAAATAGTAAGTAAATCGTAGGTATTCTAAGGCTAGTAAATGACGAATTTCCCTTGTTTATTGAAGTCACACTCCTTCCCTATTATCTACTCCTGATTACATGCATACTTGCAACCCAGGGAAAACATATTCCAAACAGTACTAGTCAAGAATAAAATCAGAACTACGAGAATCTCATTAAAATCGAAAGAAACGTGTACATGTGGAGTTGGCGTACTACAAGTAACGATATCATAAGGATTTTTTTCGATGGAGTTTTATAAGTAGGACTAAATCTCACGACCAAAAAAGAATCGAATCGAACTGATTCATTCTGACGGTGGCGCTCCCCCCCCACGTAAAACAAGAGAGCACTCACTCTGCGGCACGACGCCGTTGCCTTTCTCAATCAGCAAGGTCACGACGTCGCCTGTCCGCTGCAACACAAGCACCACGTCGGGGTGACTCATGCCGACGATGCTGGCGCCATCTACAGCGAGGATTTTGTCGCCTGGAATGAAAAAAATAGCCGTCATTTGATTCAGTTTTTTTATTGTTTATTTAGGTTTTAATTGTTTATTTGAATAATCATCGTTTATTTGGGTTTTTATTATTTATTTTGGTATTCATTGATTATTTGCGTTTTTATCATTTATTTGGATAATCATCAGTTATTTGGGTTTAACACCAAATAACGAACCTCGACGCGACAATCACTGCAGAACATTGGGAACAACGCGAGAACGTATGGATGAACAACTCACCGACTTTGATCCGACCATCAAGGTCGGCAGCACCGTTGTTCGGCAGAGACTTGATGTAGATTCCCTGAACGTTGCTCGAACCCTGCGAACGTACAGGCAACGTTAGAACAATGTAAGAACAACGATACTACGCGTGGCTCAAACTCTCTCTCTCTCTGTCTCTCTCTCTCTCTCTCTCTCTCTCTCTCTCTCTCTCTCTCTCTCTCTCTCT